AATGGTAGATTTTTATTTAAAGAACATTCTCTGAGAAGTTAGTTTTTAATAAAGGTAGCGAAACAATAATAATCGCCCTCACCAACAACAGTCATAATTTTCCAGATTTATCGTAATTAATAGAACTAAATTAAATATTAGGAATTCTCCTGATGAAAGCAAAAGCGAATTTGCCGAAACACATGTAGAGATACACAAAAAAAAATTTCGAAATAAAAGTTAGTATATTTTAAAAAAAACAAAAATAACCGCATTTAAACAATTTCGAAATAACGACTCAAAAATTAAAACAAAAATAAATTAAATCATTATTACTTCTAAACAAAATAGGTTAGATACACTTCCTTGTTGAGTTTGACTAGTAATTTGGTCGTTTAACCAAGCTATCAAATAAATATGACAAACCTTACAATTAATAATAATGGACTATTTGTTGTGTATTTTTACTTTAACACACGATGTCTTCAGTTTTACTAAGGTGCTATTAGTGCTACCTCAACTTGATCACTCCAATGGGAAACGGTTTTTTCTAACTGATTAATCCTCTTCTTGCTGCTTCAATCACCTCTTTCGTTAAATTATTTTTAATGATTCGCATGATATGTTTAAGTCAACTAAGCTACTGGTTTTAAATTTCCTCTTATTTAATTAGGATGTACCAGTTTCCCTGGTGGGACTTTTAAGTAAGGCTTTATTCCCCACAAAAGAAAAAAAAGCTCGGCTTCGATACTATGTCTATCAATTTTTTTAAGAGTTGCCGCAGTGTGAAAATCTGGTCAGTGGAAGAGTGATAGTATTTAAAACCAAACTCTCATAAGACCCAAACAGAAACTTGGCAATTTGATTAAGAAGAATCTTGCACATGTAAGAAGGATCTCGAAGTGTTCAAGTAGGTTGCTTAGTTGCTCGTCGATGCTTAGTTGACGCAAATCGCGGGGTCACTTCTTTTAAGTATATGTACATACCATATATTGTCTTTAAGTATAACTCCTCTTTTAAGTCAGTTATACCTTAGTTCCAAAGTTTCGATCTCATACATACGAAATATACTTTGTGAATAAAGTTTACTGATAAGGGATTGCTTGGTAGTGTACAAAATATTAGTCGATAATACTATTTAAAAATTCTTTAATTTAAATAAAAAGATTGCATTTTAGATGATAATATTCTTTTATTTGTTTATTGTGTTCGAATTAATTATTCTAGAGTTAAATAAGAGGTATCACATTGTTTTAAATTTTAATGATGAAGGGAGTAGGCAACTGGAGAGGAGACGACAGTTTTAACTAATGGAGCTGAGTGTACAACAGGAACTGAGTGTACAACAGGTACTGAGTGTACAACTGGGGCGGCATGTACAGTGTGAACTACAGGAGCGGCATGTACAGTGTGAACAACTGGAGCTGCATGAACGGTGTGCACGACGGGAGCAGCAATAGTCTTTACAACTGGTACAGAATGCACAACAGGAGCAGCAACAACAGATTTTACAACTGGAATGACTGGTTCAATGGTTTTTACAACTGGAACTACTGGAGCTAATGGCACTTTCCTTACTAAGTTGGTGTAACTTTGATGTGTTACTGCCGATGAAGCGCTATGATCTACAACAGCAGTTTTAGTTAGAACAGCAGGCTGTACAATGGTGTGGGTTTCTGCAAGCAAACCGGGCTTAGCAGCAGCTACAGCAATAACAGCGAAGAATGCAATCTAAATATACAAATAATTATATCCTTTAATATCCTTTGAGTGTAAATATTTTTATATCAACTTACGTATTTGAACATTTTGTGAGATTTGGATTTTTGTGTCTGTTTTGATTTGAAGAAATCGTTTAAAACTGATGCTCAATCGTTGGTTGGTTTCAGTTTATATACAAAATTCATGACATTGTAAAGTAGCTGCTTAAAATTGTTGAACACAATTACTAGACAAATCAATTGTTAGGAAAAATATTTAAGATATTATACAACCGGTTTTAATGCTTATATCAATTTTATTATTATACATAGTGTATATACTAAAAATAGACTTTTATTTAGATTGCTAAATGTGTTATATGTTAAAAATAAAAACATTTATTTTGATTTTGGTTTAAAGTAATTTTATTTTATTTTACTTTTTTAGAGAAATCCAATTTCAATCACATAAGTTTAAAAGATATATGATATTTTGTTTTAATCCAAAATATATGACCAGTATTTATGCATTTCCACTTTTTCACATTTGCCTAAATCACAGATCCACACGCTACCATTTTCTGCCTTTTCAATAGCTTGCATCATTGCTTCTGCACACTCTTCAGCAGTCTGATTTTTTGCTTTAATAATTCTTTCACTTATGGGCTTTGACATCTCAAACGTATCAACGCCTACAAATGTGTCTAACAGACCAGTAACGGTGGCACCAGGACAAATCGCAATATATGAAATTCCTGTTATGTTATTGTAATGTGGATCCTAAATTTTTTAAATATTTTAAATATTTTTATAAGAAATATATATAGCCTTATTTTTAAATATTGTCACTAACCGCAAGTGATCTCGTAAAACCAACCACTCCATGTTTAGTAGCTGAATAGACAGCAGCAAATGGACCGGGTTCTAATCCTAAAACTGAAGCTACATTCACTATTAAGCCTCCTCGACCACTTTCACTTTTACTCATTATTGGCACTGCAACCAGTGTAGTTTCAATTAAACCCGTCTAAGTATAGGTTGCAAATGTTATTATTAATTAAAAACGAAATTAATATTAATATTGAAAATGAAATTATATTAAAAATATAAAATAAAATAAAATAAATAATTTTATAATAATATAAAAATAAAATAAATAATAATAAAATAAAAAATAAATAAATTTATTTAGTCGCATTGTGAAAATGTTTTCCTTAGAAAATATTTATGTTCCGTGACATATAATTAAAAAATTATGTTATACATATAATATTTAGTTAATTTTAATTTATTTCAATTCTAAAGTAAACCATCCGGAGCTCAACATAACTAAAATGTGTGGATACAGTAAGATTAACGACAACCAAAGTGCCAATTAATAGGACGATGTGACTAAATTTCTTAAATGTCAGCTAATAAAAATGAAGAACTAAAAAGGGAAAATAAAAGAAACAAAAGTGCAAGCAAATAACACAAAAATATGAAAATATAAAACCTACAGAAATCTACTTATAAAACTGCCAGACCAGGTAACACTACTAAAAAAATTAAGGAATAAAATCTCTAGAAAACCTATCTTAATACTACATTTTAAAATGCGGAAATTTAGAAAAAAAAGTTTGAAAGTGTCTGCTAACAGCACTAAAAATATGAAAAATACTTTCTGGAAACAATCGCTGAAAAATATTTTGAATATGATCTTATTATTAGGATTATTGTAGTTGTTTCGCACACTCGCTTAAGTAACTTCCATTACCAGAATTTAATCTGCAGAGATTTCAAATATATATTTACTACTTTATCGTGAAATTAAATAAGAGCCAACTAAGTTTTTGT